AACCAACTTTAATTCGCTTTGAAAAGCAGCTTCTTGGAATTTTTGGTACTTTTACATGTTAAACTTCATCAAAAAGCCGCGGTTTTTATCGAAAAAATAATTATAACGGACTTGGTAAACGCGGCCCGCGTAATCTAAAGGATTACAAATGCCCAAGGGCCGGTCTACGTAGCAGTTACCAGCGCTCTTTGGAAACATCAGAATTAAGAATTCTAGAATTCAGGAAATATTTGGCGTTACTGCTGAGATGCTCAGAAAGCCCTGGCGATAACATTGCTAAGACAGAGTAGATCAGAGAGCAAGTATAGCTGTAAGGGAGAGAATAAAAATCTGATTCAAACGGCACCTAAGCCGTCCATGGATTGGTGTTCTGTAAGTTTTAGTGAGCGATGAAGGAAACCGACAAAACTTTCGAGACAAGCTAATATGAAAGCCTTTTCAATCAAAGAGCTATATGAATCACGTGCTTGAAAATGGGTGTAAGCTCTTACACAAACTTCAGTGCTAAGATTTCGGGAAAAATTTAGCAAATCAAGTCTCTTGGGGTTCGATTTATAAACGCTTTACGAGTAAATGGTAGGGTTTTGCACATAAAACTTCACTTCCCTTTCCATAGCTCTCTGTTGCAAACTAATGCTATGTGCAATAGGTCAGCAAAAATATGCAATCTAATCTTTTTTCTTCTAAAAGAAGCTTATTTGGAAGTAGTTAAGGTACTTTTGCTATACATGCTTGTTTGAGGCACTGTCCCATTTATAGATTATGTCGTTAATTATGGAAACATATTTTGTACTTAAGTTACCTAATCCGATTCAATACGATTCCGCCCAATCTCATGCGCAAAGCAACAAATTGTGATTGTCTTTGTTTACGATAACCGCATTGACTAAGTTCCATACCATCATCAAAATAATAAGCATAGAGCAAAGGTCTTAAAAAGAAAGAAGAGGCAAAAATCGTCATAAAATTTCATCTAAATAAGCCGAACTTGTTGAAAAATTAACGTCCAAATGAAATCAGATTAGCACTCATATATTTCCTTACGAAGAAAATAGTTTTTGAAGTGATGCAATTATATAAGAATAGTAATTTCCTAGGCCAAGTTACGCTGTAGCTAGTGGGTTTTAGCATAAGTTATCAGAACGATTTTGTAACTCAAGTCCAAATGAACTCTGCTACCACAAAGATCATTACGCAAAAATCCGATTTGCGCAGAAAATTGCCCTCATTCATTGCAGATATGAATACGGACAAACCGCTGATTGCTGCCATGTAATCACTGGCGAGACTTACATTAATTGCACAAGTAAAACTATCAACTTGTAGAGGGTTGAGATAAACTATGAGAAACAATAAAGTAACAATATCTGAGTTGGATATGAAGTAGAAGGTAGGAGCAATATATTAAACAGTGGAGATAATCGTTTACTCAGTAAGTAATTTTTCACGTCTTCTGAATTTATTGATCTCTAAGTATATTTACTGTGATTTCAAGAACAATACAAGGCCCAATTGTTTTTTTAGAGACTCGACCAGCCTGAACACACATTTCGCGACGACTGCACTATTACCTTGTTAAACCTTACCTTGAAAAATTCTGTGGGAGAGCGACAGTTTCTCGAGACAAGTAATGCAGATGAGCTGCCTGCTTGAAAGAAAGGAAAAGATAGAAAAGATACGTCTTGCACTCGTGAAATTAGGGCGCTACATTTTCTATAGAAAAGAAGAAATGCTTAGTATTAGCTGATCAGGTGGTTATAGTCTGTAAATTCACAAATCCCACCACTGTCCACTAGATCTGTCATTCCTCAAAATAATGCTATACATCTGCACATTGTCCACTTTCTCCAATTCTCTTTCTTTTTTGATAACAGTGCTCCTTTCGGCAGAACTCGAGGCTCTTCACGAATCGTTGTGTGGAACTCGAACGAAAGTAATGCACTGGAATGCAGTTGATTCATATAATTTACCTTTTTCGTGTAGATGCCGTATTCAATCCTATTTTTGTGTTGTGATTGCAGCAGCCTTACAATTCCCTTAGAGGCAGTGGATCGGCAGAATGAGACCCTTGTCAAAACAAGGTCACAGGGTAGGAGCCTCCATAATGGAACCTATGAACCAAAGTTCGGTCTTTCTCTGCCACCTCTAATCCCCGAAATTTCAAGCGCAAGCAGCGCTCATCTCCTCTCCTCTCCGATCCGCCCACCCCACGGAGAGTAAACGCGAAGCCCGCCATGGCGAAGACGCAGAGTCGTTGCAAGACCCTCATGCTTATAGCATTGCGGCATGCGCGCTCGGGCCGCAGGGTCGGAGAGGAGAGGAGATGAGCGCGCTTTCGCGTTGAAATTTCGGGGGTTAGAAGCGGCAGAGAAAGATCGGACTTTGGCCGATAGGTTCCATTATGGGGGCTCCTACCCTGTGACCTTGTTTTGCCACGGGTCTCATTCTGCGGATCCACTGCCTTCAAAACATGGGATGTTTTGTGGAACCCAAGTCAGTTTAACTTACATGGCCCCTGTGTCAGGCCAGGGGCGGTATTTATTAACGTCCTATATAGGAAGGGGTTCCTTTAACAGCACATACAGGCGCGGGCCTGGCGCCCGCAATAGACGAAGCCAAGCTGGTGATCCGGTTCCTGTATATTGGAAAGTATGGTCCGAACTGGCAAGTTTGGCATGTCGGGCACGGCAGTCGGGCAGCAGAGCCCGACTTTAACAGGTCGTGCTCCTGTCCGACGCCGTGCCCCGACATGCCAGACACAAACTTGCCCCAGATTGAACCACATTCTAATGTTTGGTGAATCACGGGATTGCTCCGGCCTGTCCAAGCACTCGTTGATAATGGCCCAAACAGCGAGGATTGATAAATACCGCTAGGAATGGAATTTAATCTTTAAATGGAAAGGGGTTCCCGTATATGTCACAGCCCGCATAGGCGCGGACACTCGTGCTCGCGATAGACGAAGGCAAGCTGGTGATGGCTCCTGTCTGTTTGGAGATATGGCCCCATCTGACAAGTTTGGCCATATCGGCACGGCAGGTGCCCTATATGCCCGATCTCGACAGGTCTGGCTCTGCTGCCCGTTTGTGCCACGCGCCCTAAACTTTTATAAATCATGGAAATGCGCTCTTACCTGTCTGGGCACTCGTTAATAATGGCCCGAGCAGCGAGTGGGAGATAAACAATGAATAAACACCGCCTCAGATCTCATGCAAGAACCTTTTATGCAAGACAAATATCATTTTTGTAAGCAACAGCTTATTAGCCTCCTATAAGAAAGTTTAGTGAGACCTGAGTTTTTGTTGGTGTCTAGAGTATAGTCGTCCTCCCCCCACTAGATACCTAGTGGAGGAATTCGAATCTGAACTAGAGCACGCCGGATGCGGCAGAACACGGCACCCTCAAATGCATTTTAGGCTTATGAGTTTTTTTGTGTTTTATCGTCATTGCATTGTGATTTTTTTGTTTTTAAGATGAATATAATCAGAATTTAAGAGGGAGGTGTTTCTCAGCGATGTTTCGTACTAGGAAAGGCTGGAATACCGATGCACTTGGAGTGTTTTTGCCATGAAGTGTTCAACAAAACAACACTTCAAGACTTACCGAGTAAAATTCCACCAGTTTTCAAACTCACAAGGGAAGAATACTGGCTTAGATTCGCCTTTTAAGATGAGACGCATATATTTGGAATCACCTTTAAACGCTGATTCTAAATATGCTGTTTCTAGCTGCTTAGCTTATTCAGGAGCGAGTTATGGGCTTGCTGTTGTGATCAATCAACAAACTTCTGAATGTCGTAAGACGGCGTGTAAATAAGAATCTGCTCGAAAAAAGTGCTAGGATGTTGAACTAGCATCAGATTGATTCTTTCATCTTGAAAAAGATCATTATACAATTGCAAGACCACCAGGACGTCAACACCATGCATCAGCAGGTCAAGGAGCACGAAAACTTTGCATTAAAAAGGGATCATAACTTGCTTTAGAATAATGCTAAGCAGCTAGAACAGCATTTTTAGACCGCATTCCAAGATGATTCTAAATATGTGTGTTTCATCTCTGAAGGCGAATTTATTTGGTATCCTTCCCTTGTTAGTCGTTTTTCCAAGCTCAACTTGAAATCGTACTCAAGAAACGAGCATAGCAGTATGATTTATCGTTCACACAAAAGCAAAAACTGCAATACCAATTGAGAAAACTGTCAGCATTGAAAATCTACGTTGAAACGTAGGAAAACACAAAAGAATTTGCTTGAGATTGAAGTAAGAGCTGCAGGTGCCGCGCTTTGTCGCCATCGTCGTGCTCTGATCAAAATTCGAATTCGTCCACTAGGTGTCTAGATTTTTCTATAGTGGGAGGACCACTAGACCTATAGAAAAGCATCCATTCCTTGACCTGTTTGCACATCAACAGCTCAGTCATTTTGATCGTTTCTCAAACTTCATTCAAATTTCTTTTGTGTGCGTTCTTCAAGAAGCGTTTTACGACAAATAAATCATAGACAATATAACGTTCAATTTTTGTAACGAGGGAAGTATTATACTTTCAAGGGCCGTGGTCGTTTGATCAAAGCATATCGGCGAACACTTCTGAGCTTTAGATCTGCATTGCGTTTCTGCGGAACATTCTTTTGAAGGGAGTTATAAAAGCCAGAATATTTTATCTTGTGCGCTCCTAAAGGCACGAGTATGCTTTGCGTACGTTTGATTAAACAAGTTCATGAGTGCGTTTTGATGCCTGATGAATTTACTATTAAAGATGAGTCCGTCACATTCGTGCGGACTACTGACTCCATGGTGGACTAGAGACTCCGAAGAAGACGATATTTGTCGAAACGTTAGGTCAACAATAAAGATCCACCACAAAACCTGGTTGGCAGAACAACACTATACAATACTATTAGAGATTTGTGATTTGAACACGATGGTCAACGAGCTCGACATGTTCATTCACGCTAATTCACGCTCATTCACGAGTTCTGATAGCAAAACATCCGATTGTCTAAGTTCGCTGCGAACAAAATGATCGCATTCTTCTGATCACAGTCCCTTCTGCAGTTGTCGTTTCTAGATCGCATTTATCGCTGATCAATTTCCTTAAGTGATCACGGAAATCCTGTTCGGTAAGAACGTACAGCACAAATTTTGATACCTGAAGAATACTAACACAAAGTAAGAAAGACTTGAATAAGAAAAGGTCACCTGGAACAGAGCTAATGAATAAGTGGCCACAAAGTTTTGCTGAGACGTTGTTATATTGAACTTGAAGAAGTTTGTAAGGATGTAGACCTGAAAGCAATGAGCTTCAAGAAGTCATTGCTTGGTGGGATGGACATTCAAGTTTCAATGCGATAAACAACAACTTCACAGTTTGCAAGCAGTAGGAGTTAGTTGAGTACATAAGTCTTGTACCAACATGTCAAAACCGTATTAGATTATTTTTCCCATATTTTAGCTCTTGGCTTTGGCTTTCAGGTACCAATCGAAGGACCAAAGTAAGCCCGGTTAGCCGGTCATTTGTGTGAACCCAAAGTTTGGGTAAAACAAAAAGGTTTAGATGATCAAAACAGCAGATATAAATGGTATTCCTTCTGAAACAGCCAACAGATGTTCCAACTTGCTCACGCCTACAATAAGTTATTTCATAATCAATGTACATGTCTCTAACTTCTTATTTCAGAAGCTGTTTTTCAAAGGTAAATTATTTTGGAAAACATTTTTATCTAAAAGCAAGCGCCTTTTGGTTTCTCGAGTATGTTCTCATTTTCGCAAACCTTTCATCCCAGAATTCGTGCCGTTGAAGATAAGATATTAATTTAAAATTTTCTTTCCCACTTTCTTCGCTCTAATTCAAGGAAAAAGTTAAAAATGCCGTGAATAATGTATAAAAATTGCGGATTTGTGTTCTTGAATCAAAAAATTTTGACTCCAAAACTTGGCTGCTTGCGGGGCCGTCTTGGCTGTATAGTGATCTTAGGAGAGAAGCAATTGCAGCAATTTTGCTCTGTTCAGCTAATGCATATTTGATACAACTTGCGGTAGAAAGCAAGCGTACGGCTTTTTCTATCTTCTAAAAAAATTAAAAGCTTCCAAAATGGCGGTTCTTGCCTTTTGTGTCGAAAGAAGTAGGTATCTCTGATTTTTTTGCAATAGTTTCAGGCAAAAAATTCTGTAAAACCCAGACTTCACTGTAGTGCTAAACCGATCATCTTATGATGAGCAAAATCTGCGCCGTTCAGGTACGTTCACGCATTCTACTTTGTAGTCGAAGAAGCAGATGAATGCGTACAGACCTTTTACAATGACTTGCGGGGCCAGCCGATCATCAAGTCAGTGCTTTTATCCTCCCAGATTACTTTGGTACCAATTTTCTCAAAGCGTAGAGGGCTTGGTTGGTTCTGGGGCGGAGATCGAACCTAGGCCCGACCTGGTCATAGCGGCGCCTCACCCCACTATGCCACTTGTCCCCTACATTCAAAATAAACTATGCTTTCTCAAGGTAAAGGTGTTCGGCAAAATTTTTTGGGCATCTCTGGAGAAAGTCTTCCTTCTTATTGCTACAACTGGACAACAGCATATATAAATGTGTGTTGTATTGAATGTTTGTGTTTGCAATAGCTATGATTGCGCTCAAGAAGATAATTTGTGAAAAGAGTCATCTAGATCAGAAGTTGAAATTCAGACGTACATCACGTTTGAAGCAGCCTCATACTTCCCTATCATACATCCATGTATTCATTTAACGTAATTTTTCTTCTTATAGAAATGGAGAAAACGAAATTTTCAGTTGTGGCCAAAGCAGCACTGAGTCATTTTAGCACTTTCAACTTCAAACTAGAATCTTTAGAAGTACAATTGTAAACTTGTAAGTTCTACAATTTAAATTTTGAGCGATATCAAATTTACCTCAAATCCAACTTTTTCGGTCAGATTTGACCAAATTTGATATTCCTCACCAACTTCAATAAAGGTTGCATCACTTGAAATTTGATTTCACTAAGCTGTACGATTTACTGAATGCAAAGTATTTTTCTGTTCCTTTGTTTTGGTAATCTCACTTCCTATCGGAGATTCTTAACTTGCTGAACCCTTCAACGTTAGAATAAGTTTCAAATGTGAACTTGCAATGTCGTCGGAACATGTGACAGCACTTGCGATGAAGCTCACAACAAGAATCGGTTTGATTGACTTGATCTCCTTCGACCGTGCTTCTTTTGCTAAACGTCTAGCAAGAATATATGCAGATCCGGAGCCTAAGAAGCTTCCAATCTGTAAAAAAAAGTATGACCGGATGCAAACAAATTTGCAGTTAGGTTTCGTAGTCGCGCTATGCAGTTGCCAGTGTTATTGGTGTTTCATTCCGGCTGTAAGAATTTAACATCCTTAATGCGATGCGGATATGGGTCATGCGCTCACTAAGGAAACGCTGGCTGCGCCGCAACGCCGGCAGCGCTGCTAAACTGATAAAATTAGCAAATGACAACATTTGGCCAAACTTTAAGCGTATAATCTTGCGGAAAGCCCTTTTCCACACAATTCTGTTGAAGGCACATTTGTGAAGAGTGTAGCTGAATCAAATGTACGTATATACTTTAGAATGGGAATGGGATAGTTGTCTCGACAAACCTGGCAAAAAACGTTGAAAATTTTGTAAACGTAGGCGAAATCCTCAGTGACACTGAAAATGATGCGCTTTGCCTTAAACGATCATTCAGAGCAATAGCTATTTCAGCAACCTCCCAGAAATTCCACAATATTTGTCATCTTCCACCTCGACGCGGCTGTCAAGATACGAAGTGAGGAACATAATCAGTATAGAAATCAAGCAAACAAGCAAGCAAATTGCGACTGCCACGAATCGGGCTACGGGTGTTGCATACAGTCTGCAAAAGGCTGCCTATTAAACAGACAATTTCAAGAACTCAGAAAGTGGCCGAGGGCAGATGGGCTTCGGTGAAAGAGATGATCGATTCTTGCACGCAGATTGTTAAAAAGCGCTTAAAATTTTTTAAACCGCTTGTTGATTTCTTTTTTTGCCAACAAAGCAGGTACCTGCGAAAAATCTGAGCGACAGGGTCTACAGGAAATCAGCAAAAAATGGCTTAGGTTTTCTTGAGCACTTCTGATCTGCAAGCATAATGTGAGAGGTCAACAAAGGGCATTTTCCGGTGCCCGCCTATCTCTAACGTTTGTTTGAAAAGCTTTTACCGGTACGTTCCAATTGACAAGACGGCAAATACTTTTTCCGCCGCCATGAAAAGCATAGATAACGAAACAAGTTCTCTGCCGAAAATGCTGAATACCATATAACCTCTAGTTGCGCATTCCCAAAGTGACACACCTCAAATGAAAGTTGAACATCTCACTTGTTTTTCCAATCTCAACGCTGCGTACCTCCCAAAAATGTGCCGTTGGCCATCTCACTAATTCGCATTATGCTTGGATAAATAAGATACGTTCCGCTCAGAATGTCACCTATACTCATTAATGTGTAGAATACGTAGCGACTTCGCATGGCGGGTCGAGAATTGAGAAACGCTGAGTGGAATTGAAAAATTACAAAAAAAAAGTTTTTCTTACGAGAACACTTACCAAGGAGCATAATATTAGTATTGACCACCAAACATCCTAAGAAAATGCGAATTTGTTGCTTTTCTATTGTTGTAGAAGTGTGACGAGTGATAAGTAAGGATTGCATGTAGGGTGATAAAGAGTATATAGCATCTGTAAGAAGAAGTGCTTCAATTTTGATCTTGGCATTCAATTCTCTTTATCTTTAATTATATAAAGACATTAAGCTATGACTTCAATAGGAACTCAGAGGTCGAAGCGACTAACAATATCAGCCCATCATTTGGAACAAGTTTTGCAAGACAGCTCTTTCACTGAAAAAACAAAACCTGAGGGTGACAAAAAACGCAAAGCCTAGACAACTTAAAGATTATTCAAGAAAAGAGCGACCTCGTTCAAAAAAGTGTACCTGCATGTTACTGCGCATTTGTCAACTAATGGCATGCAGTAGTCTTTACAAAAATCGCTCTCAATAAGCTTCGCCTCCGAGACAGCTTGCAGCTGAGAGTTACAGAAGAAGCAGTGCACTGACATAAAGCCACAATCCGATAGCGTTCTACTTCTGCGCCTAGCAGTGGGTCAGCTTATCTTTGCAGGGCAAACGCCCTGGAGAGGCAAGGCTGACCTACTATTAGGCTGCATATGGAGAGGACCCCTAGGAGAGACGCCGTTTTTCAATGCCAGGTGGTAATCGGTAACTTTAAAAAAAGTAATAAGGCAGAACGCTTTGCATGGTTTTTTCAGCAGCAGTGACTGGAGTTTTGAGCAGTTTGATGCTTCAGTAAGTTTCATGATTTGGTGTAATCTTATATATAAAGCTGAATGTCTGTTTGTCTGTATGTACAGGGTGTCCCAAAATAATGTGCACACTGTTTGATTTTGAATAATTCTCTTATTATGAGGTCTTTCGAGAAGCGGTAAGCGCCATTTTATAGAGCTAGCTTCAACTTAGATTTACAGTACAGAGCGTATCACCGGCCGCTCTTCGTTACTGTAGGATTACGGTAGAAACTTGAAAGGGGGTTTTGGGCCATGAAAGGCCATATTTTGCCTCAGAAAGGAATTAAAACAGCCTGAAAACTTTTACGCTAGGCCAATTAGAGTTGCTGATTCTAACAGTAAAATTCCCAACATTTATTACGATGCTTCACTGAAGAGTTATGCGAGGTAAGCAGTAGCGGCCATTTTCTCAATGTTAATAAAAAGTGCGGTTACACCGTTTAGAAAGCTTCGCAATCTTGAGAGTAGTTGAGTATTGAACTCAGCGTCCCTAAAAACCCTGTTACACAAGTTTTCACATCTTTTTGAAAATTTTTGAAACGTCAGCTTTTTCCACGGTGACACCATATGTTCCAGGTTTCTACCGTAATCCTACAGTAACGAAGAGCGGCCGGTGATACGCTCTATACTGTAAATCTAAGTTGAAGCCAGCTCTACAAAATGGCGCTTACCGCTTCTCGAAAGAGCTCATAATAAGAGAGTTATTCAAAATCAAACAGTGTGCACATTATTTTGGGACACCCTGTATGTATGTGTGTACGTATGTTCCGAATAGAAAATTCCATTTCTGAACCGATCCGGACCAAACTTGGCACACATACACTTCGGGCCTCGGCGGGTGTCATAGGCTACTTTTCGTCATCGATCGATATCGATTTTATCGATTTTTATCGATTTTTTTGTTGAGTTCACCTACGGGGCTGGGAGTTGGCACAGGGGGGTAATTGAGCATGGGGATTCCGAAAACAATATTGGTTTTCAGGATTATCGATTACTTTTATCGATTTTATCGATTTTTTTGCAAAGTTTGAGCTACGGGGCTGGGAGTTCGCACAGGGGGGTAATCGAGCATGGGGATTCCGAATACAATATTGGTTTTCGGGATTATCGATTACTTTTATCGATTTTATCGATTTTTTTGCAAAGTTTGAGCTCGGGGGCTGGGAGTTGGCACAGGGGGGTAATCGAGCATGCTGATCATCCCCAAGGGGGGTGATCAGCATGCTCGATTACACCCCTGTGCCAAATTCCAGCCCCCTAGCTCAAATTTTCAAAAAATCGATAAAATCGATAAAAGTAATGGACGATCTTGAAAACTAATATTGTATTCGTAATCAGCATGCTCGATTACCCCCCTGTGCAAAATCCCAGCCTCGCATGTCAAAATTTACAAAAAATCGATAAAATCAATAAAAGTAATCGATAATTCTGAAAACTAATATTGTATTCGGAATCCCCATGCTCACTTCCCCCCTGTGCCAACTCCTAGCCCTGTAGGTGAACTCTGCAAAAAAATCGATAAAAATCAGTAAAATCGACATCGATCGATAACGAAAAGTGGACTGTGACACCCGCCGGGGCCCGAAGTGTATGTGTGCCAAGTTTGGTCCGGATACGGCGGAGCCGGGTAAGCCAGCTAGTGTTCAATATTACATTCTATTAGATTGTAACTTTATCTTGTTACGCTTTGAATTCTTATGGCGATAAGTTGTATACTTTATATCCTTGACGTGGCTCCAGGGTGCTATTCGATAGAGCAGAGCAAGCTCTACAAGATTAAGATGGTGTGCAAAAGTTTGCACAGCTTCAACTCACCATAAGTTTGCATCCAGAATCTGAGTCGTAATGCAGGCTCAAAAAATAGGAAAAAATTTATATCTTCGTTCAATCAAATCCAGTGGATCTCCAAATTGCTAATATAAATTACACAACATCAGACACTCATATGTACCATTTCTGGTTTTTTCCTCATCTAGAAATCGAGAAAATGAAAATTTTCATGTTTATACAAAAACGAAGCTATGCGGCTTCCACGCATGTAATTATATATACAGGCTCTAGAAATGTAAATTTTCAGCATTCCACAAGCTCTACTTTTCGAGAAATATTGATCTGCATGGAACATTCGAAGGAGGAAAGCTATATGCGATGATTTTAGAAGACTAGGGCTTGTGGAAAGCTGGAAATTTTCAGTTATACTTCAAAGACCTGTAGTATACAATCACATGCGTAGGAACAGCATAGTTTCGTTTTTGTATAAGCATGGAAATTTTCGTTTTTTTTTGATTTCTAAATGATGGAAAAATCCAGAAACGGTATACATGTGTGTCTGATGTTGTGTGATTTGTGTGAGTAAGTTGGAGATCTGTGGGGGTTTTTTTGGACGAAGATATAAATTTTTCCCTATTTTTGAGCCTTCGGTACGACTCAGATTCTGTATGCAAGATTACGATGAGTGAAATGCCTTGCTCTATCAAATGGTACCCTGGAGCCCCATTGAGAATATGAAGCATACGACTTATCGACATAAGAAGCTCATGTGTAACAAGACTTATGTCACAACCTAATAACGATGCAAAAAGTTTCAATTTATGATCATAATTTAAAAGAATGTAAATTTTACAGTATCGATCTTGGTTGCAAGCGCAGTATAAAATTGAAGCCCAGCTCGGATCAGGTCGCAAATCAGTTTGTGCTTCCGAGTGGTTTTGAATACATGAGACGTAAGGATATGCTAAAACTAAGGGTGTCCGTTCAAATTCAAATTCCAGGTGCATGTAGGCCTCCAACATGAGTAGCTCTTGTTAGTTTATACTCAACATTTGCGTATCATCTGCCATGATTATTCGCGTTCATTCAGGTCATCGCTTAACATGAGGACATATATCTCTAGGTTATATTGTAGTCAAAGGTTGTATAAAAGCAAAATTTTACATTTTACGATAACAAGTAAACGTGATCAAATTTTTTTTGTGATTCATTTTATTTTAAGAAAAAACGGCACCGAGATAACATGATGTGGCGCTCGACGGAGTCTGCGGTTCTATTGTTTTCACAAGCGCATATTTTCCATTTTTCTCTGTGTACAATATCATTTTAAAGCTCTCGGCTCGCCTGCTCACACTTTTTCAACGTTAAAAGGCTTTTTGTGGGGGCGGAACTTACATACCCCGATAGACTTGCCGCTACGTAATTAGCGGAGTTCATGAGAGGTCATGAAATGGCAGCAACGCCAGTTTGCACCCAATTTGCACCGAAGACGAACTGATTCTGCGCACGTTAACTCTGTCGTAATCCTACAGCTCATGAAACCGGAATTTTTGAAATTCGAATTCAAAGTTCAGTAGCAAACTTAGTCCGATTAGGATAAAAACTTGTATTTAGGGGCATTTTATCGTGCAGATTCCAAAAATGATAATCGTTTTGCTTGAAACCTACGATTTTTTTAAATTTAGACTTATTTTCACAGATTTTCCAACCAAAATTCCAAAGATTCTATTTAAGGGTTTTCTGTGATGCTGTTTCCGATTATGCCAATGGTTTCGCTTGTGACTTTGAATATTTTTTCTTTCGAAATATTGTTTTTTCACAAATTCTCCGTAAATTTGGCAGATTTGACAATAGGGTTTTCTGACAAACTGTTTCCGAAAAAGCTAATGGTTTCACCTTGAATCTCGAATTTCTATTTTTGAATTTCAAACTTTTTTTGGGAGATTTCACTGCAAATTTGATAAAACTGGAATACCAGCGGAAAAAATCTGTTATGTATAGAAAAATAAATCTTTAAGGTCAGTTAGCCTTACCGGCGGGCTCGTTGACACCCAAAAATGGGGCAACTTTGATTTTAGAGTATGCAAAATTCATGCGATTTGTTAGTAGGTTAGTAGGTTAGTAAGCCGAGCGAGGTTAGTACTTTATTAGTTAGTGGCGGCCTGACGTTTCGACTGGATCGTCTTCTTCAGAGGCCTAAAGTGGTGAGAGATCAATGACTTTATGCCTTACCCCACCAGAAACCTCTTCCATCCCGGCTAGCCTCGACTTCACCCCCGAATGCTACAAACGAAAATACGCAAAAACGTGAAAGACTTACCAACCTCCTCCGCCGCTGCCGCGTAGATGTTGAATGCGGCCGTCCTCGAGTGCCACTAGTACTAATCATAACTTATAATAACGGGCTAAGGTTGTTTACGTGTTTTTGTGTGTGTGTGTATGTCTGTGTGTCTGTCTGTAACGAAATTCGTAGTGCAAGTTCCAGCCAACGTCCTGAGCCCAAATTTTGCACATCGCATGCGACCAACATAAGAGCCTACCGGGCAAAAGCACGAGTGGATTTGTTGGGTGGATCCCTCAGAAACTGCGCGTCAAACGGAACC